AGAGAGAGAGAGAGAGAGAGAGAGAGAGAGAGAGAGAGAGAGAGAGAAACTGAATATCGAATAAATAGCAGTAAAACTGAAGAAACAATTTCGATTTATTGCATGGATTTCAATCCACACCGTTTCGTTTCCACGTCGCCTTTGCATTTCCCCGGGGGGCTCAGGCTCAAAAGCTCCAAGTTAAAGTTGAGGGAGAGAAAATGTCCCTTAGTCACCTAGACCCTTTTGGAAACTATGCTAGAAATAATAGTGGCGGTAATCTTTCTGAGCAAATGTTCTGTACTATGGGAGCGTCACCGTGGTTTTGCAGCAGGACCAACGCATAGGCAGATTTTGTTCTCTTGGTCTGAGGCCCTCTTTTGACCTTCTGGTTCTACGGGGTCCCCTGCCTCATGAGGTGCCCCTTCTTCCGCGTCCTCCCAGTTCTGTAGCCTTCAGGCCGCTGGGGAAACTTTGCTCTCTCCTTACCGGATTGCAGGCTTGTAGCCTAGCTGTGCTCCGCTCCGGCTAGCCCCCATCTCACCAGTTTCCCTTGAAGTTTATAAGGAAGAAATGGTGGGGTGCTGAAACCAAGTTTAGGAGTCTAAAGAAACTCAGAGGGTCAGGTCATTAGGAATGTTAACCGGCGACCAAGGATTATAAGCATGATCAGAAAGTCTCTTCCAATTCATTCCTTCAAGTATTTATTTGTGCTAAGTGATGAAAGGTGACAGTTGCGAAATAGACAGCTTTTAAAAATAATGAAGTCAGATGAGCCTTTAACCTGTCGATCGCTATAAATCAACTTTGAAAAAGACAAATGGGGAATGTTATTTGGGCACCTACCTCCCAGCATTTGCTGTGCCCGGGGTTGGCTTGTCAGCAACTGGGCTTAGTGAGGTCTGAAAAATGACATTGGGGTGTGTGTGGGGGGGGCAAGCACCAGAAAGATCCAAAGGGGGACTTGTTGGTCAGCTTGTGTCTTCTCCTCTCATACTTGCATACCAGTGGTGGATTTCGGCTACTGTGATGTACCCAGGCCAGGCAGATGGTAAACGTTAGGACTGGGGAGAATTCAGAGAGGCCATCACTCAGGGGACTGAATGTCACAGTATAGAGGGGACCTCCCGTCCAACTTTGTCTGCCAGGGTTTGGAAGACACCCTGTGGAAATGGTGGTTGTGGATTGTTGTTTTAGCTTCTCTCTCTCTCTCTCTCTCTCTCTCTCTCTCTGTGTGTGTGTGCCTGCACACACCCGCTTACAACTAAATTTTCTCAGCCTGAGAGGGGACATCGTGTTCTCTATGACACTGGCTGGTCTTCACGAGAAAAGGGGGGGGGGGCTGAGGAAGTATAGGTAGGAGATGACAGGTGTCTGCAGGTTTGAGGCAAGTCGTGAAGGTTCCTGATTCTGACTTCTGTAAATGGCTAAAAAATATGTGATGTTTTACAGTCAAGTTTGCATGAGCACTTAGAGATTGCAGCTCTCCACAACTTCCATTTCAGCCACAGAAAGCCTGGGGTGTTGGGTTGAGCTAAAGGGATGGGGACTGTAGTCTTCTTGCCGCCAGAGACTTCTACCCTATCCACGCTTTCC